CCTCTGCAGCAAATTCGAGAAAAACAGAGACCTCTCATGCAAGCACACGATTTTTCTCTGCCAAGCCTGGGTTTTACTCCTGGTGTTAATGCAGACTCACTGCCTGATGTAGGCTGATTTTTTTTTTCAGAATAAATGCCAGGCAGTGCGTTTGCTTTTACCTTCTCTTTGTGTGCCTCAGTGGCCACAATTTGGGCCTGAAGTATTCAGGCTTCCATATCTCCATCTGTTACCTGGGGGTGAAACTCGACAAAACTATTCAAAACCTTTGTTCCAGTGTCCAATTTATTGAGAAAGATACTTTATTATAGAATAACAGGCGGGTTGGGGGTGGAAGGGACCTCTAGAGGTCCTCTGGTCCAATCCCTCTGACCAAGCATGGCCACCTAGAGCTGGCTGCCCAGGATCGAGTCCAGACAGCTTCTGGATATCTCCAGAAATGGAGATATTTGTAAGAGTAAGGCATCATGGGCAAATCCTTCCTGCTTAGATGGAGAAATTTTGTCCTGATACAGCAATAATATTCATTAAAATATTCCATTTAAGACTAAGATTTTATTATGAAATACAGCCTCAAGCTTCATTCAAATCTGCGAATAACAGCGATGCTTTCAAGTCCTCATTCTGAAGATGCTCCAGAGAGCAGCACCTGGTCAGTGGACCTACTCGGTCCCCTTGTGTTGCCTGGTCTAGTCGAGAGGTGGCGTCCCTGCCCACGACAGGGAGGTTGGACTAGATGATCTCTAAGGTCCCTTCCAGCCTAGGCCAGTCTATGATATGATATGATATGATATGATATGATATGATATATGACATGACATGACATGACATGACATGACATGACATGACATGACATGACATGACATGCTGAACATCATTGTCCAACATACATGATCCATCCCGTGCCTGCCTCATTACCGCATGTGCACCAGACCCCCTCCTGGACAGCACAATGTAGATGTCATGAGAATAATGCGATTCCTCTGGGGAAATTGCATACAATAATAATCATCTTTTGACCAACATCTGAGATTTTTCAGTGCTTGATTTGCTTCTTTTTTATAAAGTTACCCTAAATAACATTTTCAGGGGATTTTACTTCCAGGTTCCTAGAGAACGAAGGCGAAGGCTCTCTTCCTGTCAAATAATAACACAAACCCCAAACATTCATGTATGTATAAAGTAAGGAAGCTTGACTAAAATCTCATACGTCAGTACTTCTCCTTGTTCACCCTGATGCATCAAGACACTTCATGTAGAATATTATTACCTGAGTCTGGTCCTTGTAACTGAGGGAGGTAGAAAGTGCTGGGCTGGGGTATTGAAATCGTACCTCTCATCTTTCATGCTGTTTCTAACCAATTCACTTGATTTCCTTCTTTTCAAATAGATTTATTTTAAAGAGTAGTTTATGGTGTAAAACAAGAATAAATACTTCATTTCTCCCCTAAATGATTTTAACAATGGATCATGTGGCTCCAGAAATCAATTTGAAAGGCGATATGGGCTCCTTTGAAGAAAAGTGTCATCTTGATATAAATCAGGGATATTGTTTTATAAATATTTGAATAGCTGTAAACTACCAATATTGAGTAAAACATGATCGCTATCTGCAGAGACCTTTGGTGTTTCTGTCAACTTTGACATATTTTAGTATCAAATCTATAGAGACAAATTCATCTTAAAAATTATGCTAATTTGGGGAAATGTGCTACGTTCAAACATTGGTGCCTCCAAGATGACGTTACAAATTGGATACTTCAGCTTTTTCCAGATTAAGCAAAAAACAGCCTCAAAACTAAGAACCCCATTTTACTGACACAAAGATCTGCTGTTTTGTGGGAGTTTCCCCCCATTTGACTGCGTATTTGTTTAATTATTGTAATTTTAGAGGAAAAACAAAGAGCAAAATGTGACTAAATTGATGAAAGTTAGCCGTTAGATTAGGTAGTAGAATTGCTGCTGTCATCTTTAGTTGACTTCTTCCTGGCCAATTCAATAAATTTTAGAAATGCATAAAATAACGTAGATCTCTTCATAAAATATGGGAGGAGGGAAGCATCTCTTAAAAATTAGCCCTTTTCTAGTAAGCCCTAAGTGTTAAGACAGTTGACAAAAAGGACTCTTTAACAGCTTACCTGAGTCCATTGGTGGCAATCCCCTGAAGAAAAGCAAAATGCTTCACATGAGGTTCACGTGTCTCAAGAAATGGGTTTGTAAGAGCAGAAGCATCAAAGGAAATGTTGACAGATATTTAATTATAATGGCAGTAGTGGCCGTTGCTGTGTTAGTAGCATCTGGCAGCAGAGGCACTGCCATCTGTTAGTGCCCTGAAATTCTGAATACTGTGCATCCTTTATGGGGAAATTAACAAATCTATCAAGTGAGATCACCTTGATTGGATGACAGCTTTACCTTGATAATGATTAATTGCAAAATAATGGGGAGTAAAATGTCCACTATTTGCCTTCTTAGTACAGACTAACTAATGCTGCTCTCTAAGTACAACATCTTGGAGGGTTTACTTTGAGACTTGTGGTGTGAGACGCATCATTTAGTGCATCTGCTTTACATAATCCTCGTTAGCAGAGCTAGATTAGAACCAAACTTTTGCATCTTAATTTCTATCTGCAACAGACCAGGGCTCTAAAATGAGTTGTGGTTCTGCTGATGCACGGTAACTGATGTTAAATAAGGGAGAAAATAAGGTTAGACAGACAGAAGTGACCCTTCAGCTGAAGTCGAGTCCTCCTGGGAGAGCACTCTGACTAGGTAAAGCAGTTCAGTTTTCTTGGTAAGCTTGACACTAGAATCCAAACTAAATTTCTGATGAATCAGTTTGTCTCCAAAGTGGTGGGGGGAAAGAAAAATCTACTTGTATTTGGAAGACTTATTTTTGGGTATCTATTTTTATCAAAGCCAATATTTTGGTCAGAAATATCACTGCTGTAAATAATAGCTATAAACAAAGCAATGAGCCAATTCAAGGCCTGATTGTGTTTTATTTTTCTCTTAACTCCTCTTTTTCTGCTTGTTCCT